TCTCTCTCTCTCTCTCTCTCTCTCTCTCTCTCTTTTCCACATGCGTCTGGTCTGTTGCGTGCAACAGTGTAGCGCCCAATCATTACAGGGGGCTCTCGTGGTCTAAAGGTTACGGTGTTCGTCTCTCATTCAATACAATAAGTCCCGGGTTCAAAATCTGACAGGAACGAAAATTTTTCTTCTATAAAAGCCTCCCTTTTTATTCTCTGACCATGTTCTGTCACCTGCTTTCGTCTCCACTTTCTGTCCCTACCCCCATCATTTTGCCCGGTCCTGCTACTCCTTGGCTCCTTCTTACTGCTGTCTTTCAGCCACACCCCTGATTTTAGGTAGGTAAGATCTAACACCTAGTCTTCTCAAATACGGGTGAAATATACGTTAAACATCCCTTGATGGTCAAAATAGATAAGAGTAGGCTTCGTGGTCACCACCTGGGCGAAATTCAAAATTAATTCCTAGCAAAATACAATAATGTTTAATGTGTCCGGCTCGTTCACATGACCGTATTATGCAGTTGCGAAGGCAGTAAAGCACCTACCAAAATAAAACAAAAACCGTTACACCACAACAACCGTACGGCCGTCGCTTCTTGGTGAATTGTAGGGGAGCTGAAGCTCAGACGTGACCTCTAGTTCATCTAAATAGCATCAATTTCGGGATGTGATACTTTTGGGGAAAATCAACAATGACATTACGCTTCAGCAAACGAGAGATGAAAGCTAATAAAGACTATGGTTATGTATGACTGAAAGTGCTGTACGCCCCCATCAACAAAACAGGAAAGTGGGGGGGGGGGGCTGTTTCGACATAGGTTGAATTAGGTACAACATCCCGTCAGACAGACTCAGATGCAACATACAATAAATCGTCCACGGTGGGAATTGAACCTATTTCTTCTGCTTAACCATTACAACCACAGACACCAGCACAGCCGCGGCTGCCACGATGATTTGTGGTTGAACTGAAAGTCAGACGTGATCTCTCCTTCACCTAAATTATAATATAACATCAATATCGGGATTGGGTATTTTCCTTTAAAGTCTCAATGGCATTACGCTTCAACAAATAAGAGGTGAAAGCTAATAGAACAAGCCAACGGACTTGTCAGACCGAAAAGGGTTTATAAGTGATCTGAATTATTGAATCAGAAGATGAAAGTCTCGTTTTGTGTCAAAATAAACACAAGACGACATCCAATACTCTTTGCACATACTCATATATCAGATGGAAGTGCAAATGATACTTCGCCTCACGACACAGAATGCCATTATGATATCGTCACTGGGATTAGAAACAGTGCTCTTGGGAAATGAGGGTGAGCAATCGAGTTTGAATGGTTGAAACTATTATTACGTTATTAAGATGTAGCTTTTTAAAGAAGCGATTTTATTTAATTTTTCAGACAGCTTCAGAAAAGTCCAGGTTTCTACTTTAATAAAGACGACGTCTGAGGAATAGTAATTAGAAGCTTCTCTGTCACACACGGGAGACCAGAGTTCGATTCCCGAGTGGGGAGAATTTGTATCGAGTATCTCGGTCTTTCTACCGGGATGTTGTATCCCTCTCAACTCGGGTAGACCCTGACAGAAAGGGTCGAAGCCTGCCTCCTAAATGATATTTAATATATTGCGTCCTTAAAATACCTGCATTAAAAAAATCTGTAGTAGAGCGTGTATAGACAGGTTAGCAGATCATGTGTGAGTGCCCACCCTTGCCATCAGAATCATATGATCACGACAGACATGCAAGTCAACGCGTCAAATATTTGAAGTGTAATTCACTGGTGTTCATGAATGGTCACGAACTTTCGCGTCTCTCCAACCACACTGCTCGTCGTTGGTGAACACTGATAGTATGCTATTTCCTCTACACACACAGACGAACCTGTCTCCTTTTTTTTTCTTTCTTTACTTTTGTTCTTTCGTTTTCTCCCCCTGCTCTTCGTACATTACATTGTTTCCTTCTCCATATTCATTTAAGTCCCATTCTTCACCATGCAGCGAAAGACATGAGTCCGACTCTCGAGAGGAGAAGTCTATCTCTTTCTGGGTGCCTCAGCACCGGCGTATGTGGTGTAGCGGTTAGGTGCTTCGCTGTCGCACGCAGGAAACCCAAGTTCGATTTCCGAGAGAGGAGAATTTTTTTATGAGTCTATTGGTCTTTCTACTGGGATGTTATAGTTTCACTCTCTGGCCGGGTTGGTCCTGACAGAGAGAGTTCGAAGCCCAGGCCGAAAAAAACACCTTCATTAAAAAAGAATATGTCAGTGTCTTTGTGTGGGTGTTGTGTCTCATTGAACATTTGTCAGCCCCTGGAAGCAGCCTGTCTCCTTAAAAATGTGTCGGGAGGTGGAAGGTGACTTTAAAACTGTTATGACCATGCTGGAGTTTTATCTCGAAAGACAGAGTATCCAGTTTTGGAATAAATTGGAGAGAGATTCCACCTCTTATCCTCCTCCTCACCCACCTCTTCATCTTCATCCTTTTCCTCCTTCCCCTTCACCTCCTCCTCTTCCTAACCCTCCTCTTCTGTCACTGTTGTCGTAATCCTTTCCTCCC